GTATGCTATCTTTGCTGGAGTACACTATGGGGGCAGTTTGAAGCAAAGACACTGGAAAAGTGCAAAGAGCCAATTTTTTCCATGACCCATATGATTGAGTCAAGGATCAATGAGAAAAAGCCAAAGCCAACTGTTAAGTTCTTGGCTGCTAACCAGGTCAGTGGTTCAAACCCACCAGCTGCTGTGGAAGAGAGAAGACTTGGTGACCCACTCCCATAGTTGTTGTTGTTGTGTGGTGTCAAGTCGATTCCAACTTATAGCAACCCTGCAGGACAGAGCATAACTGCCCCACAGCATTTCCAAGCTGTAATCTTTATGGGAGCAGATCACCAGGTCTTTAATCCCATGGGTCACTGGTGGTTTCGAACCGCCAACCTTTTCGTCAGCAGCTGAGTACTGAATGGTTGTGCCACCAGGGCTCTGTCCCATAAAGATTACAATCTAGCAATCTTTATGGAGCAGATCTACTCTGTCCTAGAGGGCCACTGTGAATCAGAATTGACTCGATGGCACACAAAAGTGACCACCACCTATGGCTTAGAGTAGTTAAACAGGATTTCAGATTCTTAACTGAATATGTACCATTTGCTCAAAAACTAATTATGGGAAAATATTAAAAACACTTTAATGGAGAAAAGGTCCTTGTGATCAATAAGACAAATACAGTAGACATTAGAAAAGAAAGGAAAAAAATCAATTAAAAGAACACATATCCAATAAGCAATCATCCAGAAAACTAGGTCTACTTAACAAGATTTTGCAAATAAGTATAATTTTCTTTCTTCCCAAATCCTATACACAGAGAACCAGTACTTTTAACAATCCTCCATAAATAAATAAAATAAAAATTTAAATATATTCTTTTCAATTTCTTATTTTTGGTAAAGAAATTAAAACGTTTATGCCAATCTGTAGTGCCTAAGGCACTTGATTGCTAACCAGAAGGCTGGAGGTTCAAACCCACTAGCTATTCCCGGGAAGGAAGGTTGGGCAATCTACTTCCCTAGTGATATTGCCTCGGAAACCCAAGGAGGGGTTGTTATGAGTCAGGTCTGACTCGACGGCACTAACAACAACAACAACATGCCAATCTGTAACGTGATGTCCAAAAAGTATGGATTCTGATCTAACTATCAGTCTTGGGATCTTTAATAAATAATTTAGGTAGTCCAATTCTCCCCATATTTTAGGAACTAACTATAAGATGATATCTGTTCTCTCTAACAAAGACAGGTTATGTAGGAGAGATAACTACAGTGTTTTGAAAAACATAGGGCCATGAGCATATACATGTAACAGTGCAGAGGTATTTAATGACATAGTCTAGTCATTAGTGACAAAACTTTCAAACCCTCTTAATTATAGGTATGTATCAAAGCTTAAAAGAAATGTAAAATTATGAACCATAATGCCAAAATAAAGAATTTTGACTCCTAGACGTTAAATATCTAAGCTCTGGTAGCATAGTGGCTAAGACACTTGCCTGCTAACCAGACGGCTGGCGGTTCAAACCCACCAGCCACTCCTCGGAAGGAAGGTTGGGCAATCCTACTTCCGTAGTGATACTGCCTCGGAAACCCAAGGAGGGGTCGCTATGAGTCGGGGCCGACTCGACGGCACATAACAACAACAACAACAATAAGACTGAAGAACAAACATTTATTATTATGAGGAAAATGTTAAAATATCGTCTTAACCATTAGACATTAGCATTAAACGTTAGGTTTGGTATCTCTCTCAATAAACTGTGAACATTTTGGTGTGTTTATTCGACAAAACCCTCCAGGAAAGATACTGGTGTGTTTTGTACGCTCCACCCAGGGTACACGATGCCAGGTTGTCTGTTCCTCATGTACAGAACCACCACTTCTAGAGCTGCTTCTATTTATTTATTTATTTGTTTGTTCAAAAAATCTGAGTTTAAGATGGCCATGGTTGTTTGTTTTGCTTTTAATATCTTAGTTCAGAGCAGCCATATGATTTTGTACAGATAAACGTACACTTAAGGCTGTTGTTGTGAGGTGCTGTCCAGATCATTCTGACTCATAGCATCCCTATGTGCAACCAAACAAAACCCTCTGCCATCCTCCATTTTATGGAACGTTTTATCCATACTTGCCAAGAACAGTCAAGAGTGTGGGGCGGATTTCAGGGCCCAGATGGTACATGACTATTGCAATTGAAATCTGGCTACTCAAAACCATTCTACTTAAGCCACTGCCTAGGACCTCTGGTAGCATAGTGGCTTAGGCACTTGACCTCTAACCAGAAGGCTGGTGGTTCAAACCCACCAGCCACTCCTCAGAAGGAAGGTTGGGCAATCTACTTCCATAGTGATACTGCCTCAGAAACCCAAGGAAGGGTCTCTATGAGTCGGATGCAACTCGACGGCACATAACAACAACAACAGTATTCCTGAAAAATACTATGAACTTGTAATTCTTATCACACTGATTTGCAGGTAAATTAGTGCTAGAATTTTTATATGAACTAAATCGAAGTTCCTCTTTTGTTGTAACATTTCTTAGTGGTACATCTCTTGTTTTGGTTTATAGGAGGCTCTCAGTAACTTTAAGTGACCTAATCCATTACTCATTCAGTTGTACATAGGGTCACTATGTGTCAGAGCTGATGCGATGGCACCTCACAACAACAATGACAACAATCCATAACTCAAGAGGGTAGGTGCCGTGACAATATACTGAAAGAGGAAAAAAATGCTATGAAATTGATATTAACAGAAAATGGACAGGACGCCCTTTAATGAAATGCATTTAATGAACAAAACAAAAAACCTAAAATAGGCTGTAGCTAGAGAAACATAAATTTAGTTTCTTATTAAACCAAATTCCCCTAATATGAAAATTTAAACCTTTCCATTTGAGACAAAGCATGGTCATTTTCAATTTAAATAGACAATGTTAAATACAAGCAACCACCAATTGATTATATATATATACACACACACACATCTTTAATTCCTATTACCTAAATTTTTTAAAAAAGAAATGCCCTTTTGCATTGTAATGTTTCTTAGTGGTTCTTTTCTTCTTTTGGTTTACAAGCACTCAATAACTATAAGTTATGAATTTACATAACTTGAAGAGGTGGTAGATATATACACACATACACACACACACACATAATTTTTTTTCTTTCAATGGCTATTTCTTAAGCATTTACTCTTACTCTACTTCAATGCTTTTTGAGTAGCACACAGGGAAGTGCTTGTAAGTAGAGCACGTTGAGCTGTTTTCTGAACGACATTTAATCCATACCTGCCGAGTACGTGTAAGGGTGTGGGGCAGATTTCAGGGCCCAGACAGTACAGACCACTATTGAGATCGAAAGCCTAGCTTAGCAGGCTGTGTGGCATGGTGACGTAAGGGTATTTCTTATCTCCAGTTGTTAACAGGGAGCCTTGGTTACGACTCGCTTTTCCAGAGGAGGATCTACCAATAGAAGTTGATAAGGTTCCTTCAAGCAGGTCTGACTTGTGCTAAAGTAGCTATCACCAAGAAAATCATGACACCACCCCATCCTGCTTACATGCTCGTGGGAGTGGTTTCCTTTTGTAGAACAAGTGACGCCAGCCCTCAGTACTCAGTAGAGGACACCCTCCATGATGGCCGCTAGCGGTGCTCAGTCCTGGAGATAAATGTTAGGTACACCACTAGGAGTCAAGTCACACGACCTGTCCAAAGAAATACCAGCCATCTGACATGTCTACTGTGCTCACAGATGCAGATGCATATTTCTGACAGGGCTTCCAACCGGTTCATTCTGGTTCAACCCCCTGCTGAGAATTTGCATTTCCACCCAGATGTACTGAATCAGAACCTACATTTTAATAAGACATTTTAACCTACAGTTTACTCAGGTAACTCATAAATATTTTCAGCTGATTCTTATGTATATATGTGTATACAATCAGATTCTTATGTACAGGGAAGAATCACCAAGGCATCTTCTTAAACTGTCCTTTCTGCCTCAGTATATACATGCATGTATGTGTATGTAGCGATCTGGAGAGGAAATGCAAAACCTAATGAGTTTGAATCCTGATTTATGGGGCTTTATCAGCATGAATCCAATAGCTATGAATAAAACATCGATGAACTCTATGAGACTCAATGTCAACGTCAACTTCACACAGGTAGAACATCACTCATTCCTGTGCCCCTGCTAAAAACGTAAGCACAAGACAAACACGCCACAGTAATAGCACTTTCTTGACCTCATTGTGTTCAGGTTCTTGTCAACCCCTAAACAACTGTTTCCTAATATTTACTTTCAGACCTAGAGAAACAAAAAACAAAACAACAACAACAACAAACTTACTGCTGTCAAGTCGATCACAACCCATAGCGACCCCTCCTTGGGTTTCCGAGGTGGTAGGTCTATGGAAGTAGATTGCACAATCTTCCTTCCAATAAGTGGCTGGAGGGTTTGAACTGCCAGCCTTCTGGTTAGTAGTCAAATGCCTTAGGCACGATGCCAGAGAAATGAAGGTAATATGGATTTTCTTCCCTTTCAATTACTAGCAGAGGTTAGAAGGTGAGCTCTTTCACATTAAAGTAGAAACATGCATAAGGCCAACCATGACTCCCCTGAGACCCTAAGACACCTAACCTATAACAGTTTGAAATCAAACACATGTAGCCACTGCACTGATATAATGGTAACTGCTTAGTTCCCATTGCATGAGACCAGCTCCTCTAGATCCTATCAAAAACAGCTAAGTCTCAAATACCTACAGTCTTTCGATCGAAAGAGCACCTTTATTATTTGGCATTGAACCACAGAAGATACAACAGATCCATATTAAATATCTTTATGGCAGATCAAAAGAAGATCATAAAGTGCAAACAAAGTTAACCCTTTAATCGTCAGCCAGTGATAATGATGTAATGTAATTTAAACATAAAACAGTGTCCTGACAATTTCTGGTTACATTTCTCGAGACATCACAGTGGGGAAAGGAAAAGGCTTTTACCCACCTGGGATCTTTCTGGATGCTATCAATGGATGGGGACCTGGCCAGGGTGCCTTCGGGCGGGAGGGCAGGACCGGATTTGCTGTATGGAGACTCAACAGAGGGACAATACTGCAGCTGTCGGTAGGGGTCTGCGTAGTTGGAGGCCGGGCCGGCGGCGTAGCTGGCTCTCTGGAAGGTGGCTGCGGCATTCTGCTGGCCGTGCTGGCTGCCTGCGCGCTGCAAGGGGACGGCGTCGACACCTGGGGAAGACGGGGCTAGGACAGGAAAGTAGGGACAAAGGAAAAAATTGAGGAGCTGCTCACAGAAACGGTTCACCAGGTCTGGGCAGGGGAGAAATTACACACATAAAAGAACAGGGGTTTGAAAGAATAAAAACATAGTCATCCGTCACACTGGAACCAGTCTATGCAATGACACCCAGTAAAACAGAAATGTGCATGCCATTTTGGGAATAGCCCTTGAGGCAGTAGGGGAGGACAGAGCACCTGTCGAAAAATACTGCTTACCAACCTCCAGTGAGTCCATCTGAAGTGTCAACTGTGTGCAAAGCCAAAATCCAACAAAATTATACTATTTTTTTTTTCTAATAAGAAATCAAGTTGAACAGTTGGCTCTTCATTGTTCAATGAAAGTGTTCAAGTCATGTTACATTAACTCTATTGAAGGGTGTCAAACAAATTTACGCATGGGTTTGTTTTTCTTGAATTAAAGACACAAGGTGAAAAGATAGGGGTAGATGTGTAGGGTGGGCTGTGGGAGATGTGGGTTCTGATTTCCATAATTAGAACAAAAGCATGGGAGCAGGGCTGCTCCTGTCCCTGTAAACCGTCCTCCTCCCAAAACAAAACAAAAATTCTATATCCCTCTTGCTCAACTAAAGTTAAAACTGAAGGCTTTCCCAATGGTACGTGTATCTTTTCAATCAGTCTGAATTGTTTTAGGAAGATTTTATATGCCACCCCCCAAAAAAAAAGAAACAAACTTGCTGCCATTGAGTCGACCACAACTCATAGCGACCCCTCCTTTGGTTTCCAAGGGGGTATCTCTACGGAAGTAGGTTGTCCAACCTTCCTTCTGAAGATTTTAGATCAGTTACCAAAATCAGCTTCAACATTTCCCAACTGAAATTCACTTTTTTTCCTTTTGGGATTCCTTTTAGTTAATTATATATCATTATTTTTAACTCATTCTCAAGATTATTTGACTTTTAAGGTCTAGCTGATGTACACACTGAAAATAGCATCATTCATCTCAACCCAATGTTACTAGTCATGCCCTGCTCCGATAGTTATTAGCTATTATCAATATTCGACTGTAGGTTTATGTTGGAGAATTCTGAGTCAGAACATAGGTGCTCTGGTGGTGTAATGGCATTTGTCTGCTAATCAAAATGTTGGTGGTTCAATTCCACCAGCTCCTCCTTGGAAGAAAGATGAGACAGTCAGGTTCTGCAAAGATTTGCAGCATTAGAAACCAAATGGGTGTTGCTATGAGGCAGAATCGACTGCAGTATGTTTTGGTTTGGGTCAGAATATACTTAGAGTACAGCCAGTGACCAGATATGACCATTTACATGTACCAAGACAGCCCTAAGTGGAACTGAGTTCCAATAATAGGTAGTCCCCAAGTTATATTCATTGTATTAAAATTACAGTAAACCACACTTACAACTTTTTTTCACATCTTATTGTGAGTAATATATACTACCCACAATGTTGCAGCATGTCATTTGTTGATATTATTCTTACATGTTCACTTGCAGATGTTTATATGTAATGTTTCCAACTCCCAATGACAAAGGAAGATCATATTTATAAAGACTTATAAAGATATTTATAATAAAAGGCAAAATAATGAAAACTGGAAAAAAAGGTATTCAACTTATGTCAGAGCCAACTTAGAATGGAGTCACTTAAACCAAACCCCATCGTCAGTCAGGGACTTCCTATGTTAATCACAGCCCACACTGATGACCGCCTCAGTGTGCCTTTGTGGACAACGGCAGAACAAACCCCATCTTCTTCTCTCACACCCAAGGGACAAATGCCAAACATAAAAGAAAGCAAATAAATTGAGAAAATAATTGTTAAAAGTGAAGAAAACTGGATTGAAATGACAAGAAGTTGTAAAGTGAACCAGAGAAATAAATTCTAATGCTGAGAACTGATTTTGTAATTGAAAGTCCAGGGCTTCTCCTTTCTGATGTATTTCCAATACTTCATCTCACACTAAAAACCAATTAGGAATGCAAGCACCCTCACGTTATCAAAACTACCAAGGCGGTTAAGAAAGACTTTCTAAATAGAAGGGCTGTAGGGTCAACAGGAATAGTGTCTTAAAATGATGGAAGCTACCCTAATGTGTTAAATTTCACAACAATTGCTTTAAAGTAAGAAACACTGAACACACAATCAAAGAATCTGGTTTATGCCTCTGTGCAATTTCTTGCCCTCAAAATAGAAAATAAACTTGTTGCCATTAAGTCAATCCCAACTCACAGCAACCCTGCAGGACAGAGTAGAATTGTCCTATAAGGTTTCCAAGGCTGGCATCTTTACAGAAGCAGACTGCTACATCTTTGTCCTGTGGCATGCCTGGTGGGTTTGAATCACAGGCTTTGCCTCCAAATTACAACTGTTACCATGTCTGCAATTAAATTACACTTTTTTTTTTTTTTTCCTTTTCAGTACATTCTAAAGTGCAGCATTGCACTTCATATTATGGTGAAAAGTGCTTAAAATTTAGGTCAGGCACAACTGTGTTCCTGGAAGAATAACACATGGGTAAACAAAATTTCATTTTCTAGAAGGGTTGTGATAAGCTGGCCAGCCGATCAAGGGCAAAAGGGGAAAATGAATAAACCGAACATTTTTCATCTAAGTACATTTTTTCTTCTATCCACTACCATCAAGTGAATCTGACTGAGAGGGGCTGTATGAGACAGAGTGAAACTGCCCCATTGTGGTTGTCTAGGCTGTGAGCTTTACAGGAGCAAAGCCCAAACCAAACTCACTGTCCTCGGGTCAATTCTGACTCACAGCACCCTAGAGGACAGAGTAGAACTGTACCGTATGGTTTCCCAGGGAAAGAGGGGCTGCTATGTGTGGGATCTGACTTGATCACAGAGAGTTTGTTTTTTGGTTTTTTTTTGGAATCTTTACAAAAGCCGACTGTCATATCATTCTCCCTCAGAACAGTTGGTGGGTTCAAACTGCTAACATTTTGGTTAGCAGCCAAGCACTGTAAACACTGTGCCACTAGAGATCCTTATTTTTTTCCCTTTCACTGCCGTCAGGTCAGATCTGACTCATAGTGACCCCTCCTGGGGTTTCTGAGGAAGTATCACTATGTAACTAGATTGCCCAACCGTCCTTCCGAGGAGTGGCTGGTGGGTTTGAACTGCCAGCCTTTGGGTTAGCAGTGAAGTGCCTTAGGCACTACGCCACTTTAGGCGGCTCTAAATATCAACATTTAAGCTTTAATGGTTACAAATATCAGACGTTTCTTTCTATACAAAAATTTCCATTATTAATACTATAATCAACAATACAGTAATTTTATAAAAAGCACAAAGTGGTAGAGGTAAAGAAATTATGATGGCATCTAAATAAATATTCTTATTGAAAAACAACAAAAATAAACAATAGGACAGGTAATAGGAGCCACCTGACTAACCACACAAAGCGTTCTCCAAACAACTCAAATGTAAAAAAAAAAAAAGACTGTAAGAAGGAAAGTTTATGGGAAAACTGCCAAGTAGCAGACAAAAAAAGAAAAAAAGAGATGAATTATAAGAGTGACTGGGTCATAAAAGTGAAAATAGGGTGTGAAATTCAATTAATTAAGCAGAAACAGGCAACATCGCAGGATTTGAGGGGGAGGAAAGGACTTAGGAAAGTCATTGGACGCTATTAGGCTTCTATTTATATTTGGGCATGGACATATGTATTTGGACATGTACTTTGGTCATGTATCAGGAGGGACCAGTCGGGAGAAGGGCGTCATGCGTGGTGACCGGATGGCAACTAACGACATTTATATTTCACTTTGGCCTATTTCAGGGGACAGATCATGGAGCTCATTTGGAGCTTGACATCTGAGTTCAGAGAAGTTGGGTTCTGTTGGAGCTGGGAGGTGTATTCTAGACTTGGACCAGTTAACTGAGCTTTCTAAACCCTAGAGTCCTTGGCTGTGAGGTGAAGGGAGTAAGATGACCTCAGAGTCCTTACTTGTAACACCTCACATGCAACAAATGCTAAAAAAAAAAAAAAAAAAAAAATCATCTACTGTTGTCATTAATGGCAATGACAAGGATATTTAAGAGAGGATGGTGTACTTGATTGGGATGGAAGGTCCTGTGACTGTGTGGTAGATCCTACAGCTCTTTGTCTATGCCAAGTATGACTCTTTCACTTGTATCACTTCCAATCACCCTATGAGACAGTAAACCACACCATTCTCTCATTTTATGATGAAGAAACAGAAGCACAGGGAGAGGAGGTAACTAGACCGAAGTCAGTGGACTGTGGATGGAGAGGGTGTTTAAGTCACTGGGAGTAGGCTCCCAGTGGTTGTTCTTGTAAATACTATGGTACATGGTAGTGGATTGACAATCTCAAAGGTGTACAATCACTAAGCTACATAACACAGTGGGAAATTCTAGAAGACTACTGAGAGATCTAAAATGACGAGGAATGTCTACTAACTGGACAGAGAAGAGAGATATTTATTAATGGAATAATCAATTTGAGGATCATTTTGGAAAAAAAAAATACCAAATTGGTGTATTAACTGATTTGTATTTCTCACTAAACTGAATTTGCTGAGCTAGAAAGGAAAATACACAGAAAAAAATATTATGTAGAAAATCTAACTTCATTGATTTCTAGGAAAAGGAAAGAAGAGCCAACTATACAATAATGTTTGCTTCACTGCCAGGTCAATGTTTAAGCTGTAGATTAATCAATGATACCCACTGCCTTTGAGTTTCTGAGGCAGTATCACTACAGAAGTAGATGGCCCATGCATTAAGAAAAGAGAGGGTGGGCTATAAAATATAAATTGGATTAACAATTATGAGAATGATGACATCCAATCATAATCACATTTGTACTTGAGGAATGGTCCATTAGAAGGACCAGAGTTTAAACTTCTTTTAAGTCACAATAAATAAAAGAACTGATGAAAATTTCAAAATACAAAATCAGAATGCAAATTGACACTACTTGATTGAACTGTGGTAGAGCCTGAGTGA